TTTCCCTAGCTTCACCCAGGAGTCAAGAGGAGTGAACTGAAACAAATGCCATGTCACCACATCGAGAGTTCTGTTCTTCACAATTTCTACGCAAGTCCTTTGGTCAAACCGGGACAGCACCTATGTTGCAAAATGAGAGAGGGAAAAAATCAGTTATCGTAATCTCCGTGTACTGGATTGCATACCGAGCCTGTGTCATCTGGTTGTACCATAACATGTCTCTGAGAACACAATTACCACCTGAAGTATTTCTGAATAGATCAATACCTTCAAGAAACGAACAGTTTTGATTTGAGAAGGAAGCACTTCCATGCGTTTGTTCAAACTGAAACTTTTCACGACTGTTTCCACAAGTTTTGGGTACTTTAAGACTGCATTTGTGCATGTTGGAGAATGCCTTGCTATTGCAATAAGTATAGAAATGATGCTTTCCTCTAGTACTGTTGTTGGTTCAGTCTGAAATCACAAACATCGGGAACACCAGAGACGACTATATAAGCATTAAATTTCATTCTCATAAATTGAAGAAATGGCCAGCTAGAATCAGATTTACATCAGAATAAAAAAAATGTTGCTGAGTGACAATAACGACAATAATAAAAGGTATCATCTATAAATAGTAAGCTGACCTCCAGGAGGAAATAAATTCTTGGGAGGATTCCCATTCTAACCAGACCAGCAGCAATGTCTTGTCCGGCTACATAAACGTCATCCTGAATAGTGCCTGTATCTTCAGTCCCATCATCCGAAATTTCCTCATGAGAAGGAAAAATATTGGATGGTTTAGCACTATACTTCCAGTACCCGCCATGGAGGAAGCCGAGATCAATTTCCGGCTTACTCCTAAACACAGGGGCGGTGAAGATGTCTTTTCCATGAATTGCCATTTTCTAAAAAAGGCTTCACAAATATCAGTTCTAACATATAATAGTAATCCTCGTTTTATGTTTCTATGAAAACGAATACTTCTTTGAGAAATATTAACTTTACCTCTGAAACTTCGAAGAAATTCTCGTTACGATCACAGCACAGTAGACACAGAATCACTCTTACACAAGCTAGAATGACAGAGTTGTGGTTGTCATCAAGAGCCATCCTAAAGAAGAAAAGAAAATCATATTCATTAATCACATTCGTATATGAGAGTTTAACATCACAAATAAGTCCTACATTACAGCTGAAATAAAAGCAATACTTCAATCTTTTGATAAGTAGCTAGGTACAGGATTTTACCTCACTGCTAAGACAAGCTCAGGTTCTGGTCCAAGTGCATAAGCCCAGACGGCTTCCCAATCAGTGGATTTATTGGCTTTAACCTCATTTTTCCTCATGCAACTGATTCTGCTTTGACAAATGTTATATAAAGCTTTATCAAGCACAGACGCGAGCAAATGCAGAGCAAGAGATCTTTGCCCTGGAACCTGAAAGTTGCAAGCAAGACTGATAAGAGGCAACGAAGGAAAATTCTACTCGTCTCCAGGACATCTGCCCCAGCTTGGAGATGTTCTTCAGCTTACACAAAATGGAGTACAAATTAAATGTTTTTATGGTAAACACTCAAAAAAATAGTGGTCATACCGCACTCCGTGCAAGGGCAATAGCTTCTTTGATTGTGTATCCTGCTGCCCCGGGTTCCCCTTCAGTTCTCAAAAAGTCACGTTCGGCAGCACTTTCGCAGTTAGACCACTTATTACCTGAAAATTCAGAGTAAACCTTAAGGGCAATTGTAGGAAAATGCTTGAGATGCTGTAGTTCTTTATAGAAATTATTTTGTTTCCAGAAATTGATTTTTTACAAGGTTACAAAATGAATTCAACAAAACTCATAGCATGTTTTGCCTCACCAGCTTCAGTTGTCAGGACAATATCCTCAATGACAACATCCCCATCCAAAGAAAATCTCAAATCCCTGACAGCCTCAACCCTCTGAGACCATGTATCCCACAATATGCCTTGGATTGTCCTTGAACTTTGCACTGCATTGCTTTCCTTTGGATTCGCCGTCACGTTAGAGGCAGATGAAGTACCTGACTCACTCTGCCATGGATGACCATCAGGACTAATAAACTGACTCTTTGTCTTTACATGATTTATATCCCTGTCAGCAGTAGAAGCAGCCAACACTGAATGCCTTTGCTTCTTCAACTTGTCCAGGCCTCGTTTCTTCAATAGGTTCAACAAAGCAGGATCCATCTTTTCTATTAGCTCAGTCTGTGCTTCTGCAATCTCTTCGGGTGACATTTTTTGTAACAACACACGGTTCTCTGCGTCTATCTCACTCTCAAGAGATGAAGACATCTGTCTACTTCCAAGTTCATTCAATCTGGAGGAGGTCATAGTTGAGGCAGAAGAACTATGGAAACATGCTTCTGCAGTCCCATCATGAGATATCCTCTCCCCCCTCATGGGGCTATTTGTAAACTCTGCTCTCATAATATCTTCAGTATTATTAGTTTCGGTGACAGCAACTAACAACGGATGGTTCAACTCCATATCAAGCCGTGCCATAGACCATTCTGTATGTGATTCACTTTTTTCAGTCGGTGCATTGTGCTCATCATCCATTTCCATGGAAGTAGCCGTCTCAAGTGAAGTAAAAGAAGAATCAGGCGGCACCTTCTTTCCTATCGTTTGCCGGTTTTCACTCTGATTTTCAAATTTACTCGGTTCATTTACACTTGTCGCCACTTTTCTTGGTGACCCAGAATCATCCCCAGAGAGCAGCTCCTTCCACCTTCGAAACTCCAGCTCTTGTTTCTTCTTTCTCTGAACCGGTTTAGCAAAAGCAGCAATAGAGTTGGCATCCGAGAATTGTTCTTCTTCGTCATCATCCCTGTAGCCTTGAACAGGATCATCCTTACCACTTCCTTTGCTTCCGGCAGGAGACCAGTGCTACCAAAACAAAAATTAAAAAATTAGTTCCAGATTTAAGTTCAGAGGGACTTTGATTAATATGGAACCACATTGGAAGTGCAAGACTTGAAATATTCCAAAGTCTCCGATGAATTCCCAGCTATCTAACACCAGCGCACAGTAAAAATGGAGCACTATGTACAACTCTGAAAAATGAAGAACGGCGAACGCAAACTGCTAAGGAAACAACAACACACACACAAAACCTGGAAAAACCCTAGGGGAGGAAAGTTACGGGTCCGTGAGAGCGGTGCCGAGCCACTGGAAAGGGAAGAACGGTTGGAGTGGGAGGCGGAATCGGAGAGAAGGGATTAACATGGGGAACGCCTTTCTCGAGGATACTGCCTACGAGACGGGAGGCGCCATCAGGGTCGATCCCGAGGGAAGCAGAGGAAAGATGCTTGGGATTACGCCTGTCCCGCTCCATTGGATTCGTCGTCTGTTGTCTGAGGGCATATACATAATCAGATTCAACCACTAGAACTAAGACATAAACACAATCAGATTCACGGGGGTAACGAATGAGTTGGTGTAAATAATCTACATATCTTCGTCACAATATATATACATATAATTGAAGAAAGGGTCGCATTCCAGAACCTTAAGCACTGACCATGACTTGCTTTGGATTACGAAAATGATATATACCATATCCAATCAAAACGAAATCTATTCGCATTACTTTCTACAGACAGTATGCTGTTAGTCGGAACACTAAGACCCATCCTAAAAAAATGATTACAAAGCCACTGGTCGGCCAAACATGGGAAAGACGAAGAAGAGGAAGAAGACAAAGAAGACGAAACCGACAGAAGAAGAAGAAGACCGGCGGGCTCAAATCAGGACCAGCGGACACAAATAATAAGAAGAAGAAGACTACTTGCCGAAGAAGACGAAGACCAGCGAGCACAAATTAGAATCAGACGAAGAATAAGAAAAAGAACGGCGGGCACAAACCAATTATCATCATCAGAATCAGAAGAAGACGACTTACCGGCGCGTGGTGATGGCGGTCGTCGACGGAGAAAGAAGACAGAGAAGTTTCAGGATCAGGGTTTCTTTTTTTATTTCATTTATTTATTTAAAAAAAAAAACAGGTTTTGTCCGACCCGAAATCCGACGGATTTAGCCCGGTTAAGTCCGAATCCGGTTCGAAAGACCGGATTTTTTCGGACCTGCGGTTTTAAACCTAAACCCAATATTTTTCGAACAGGCACGGTCCGTCCTCAGGCCGAAGTTAGACACCCCTAGCTTGGACGAGGAACAACTCAAGCCTTACAAACCGGTGTCACGGGGCTTGGTCGAGTCTGTGTGGGGCTGCGTGTGAGTTTTAAGGATTTGAACTTAAAAAACCTGAGCGGACTTAATTCAGACGACAATTCCGATAGTGAAAATATCTAATGCGACGATTCAACGTAATATTTGTCCTCCTCAGACTTTGACAGCATGAAACAAAACAACTCCTAGGGCTACTCTCAGGAATTTACAAGAAAACGACATGTCAATCTCTCTCAGGTGTCACTCCCATAACTCTTCTTGAACTCAAATTCCCAGCATAAGTCTTCCACTCATCCTCCCCCGTTGCCTCTCTGATGCCATTCCTCCTCAGCGCCGGAGCTCTTCTCGGGCTCCTGGAAATCGGACTGAGAGATGGAGTAGCAAACTCAGAGGCATTGGGTATCGGTGACATGATGCGTTTCTGGACAGGCCGGCCGCTGATGCTGAAGAGGGACAACGACTCCGTTGCAGACACCGACTGTCTTGTTACATCATCCACATACATCACATCATCTATTCTGGCAGTTATGTTGAACGCCAGGCTCTCCATTACCCTCGAGTAACTCTCTAGTATCGCTTGCCCTACATCCTGCATCATCAAGAAGAAGAGATGGTTCGGGTAATGCTTTTAAAAAAAAAAGTTCAGGTTTTTATCTTTCTGCTCTGCGCAACCACGTGTTTTCAGGAGAGTGCCATTTTTTTCCCCCAGAAACTTTCCCATGTAGTATTTTCGAGAGGAAAAGACAGTTCATTACCTTGTTGTACTGAATCTTGTTCATGTCAAGTGTGGTCTGAGGAAGGCCCGGGAAGCGGTGCCTCAGGCTCTGCAAGAGGGTTTCAGCTCTCTGCGAAAGACAGTCATTCTTATCAGCGTCATTGACAAAGCCTCGGACCTTGCCTCTCCACGATGACTGCTTGGGTTTTGCATGCTTCTTGTGTCTCCTCTCATTTCTCCATTTCCAGATATGCACAGCAGCCTCTACTCTGTTTGCAACTTCAAGAGTCTGATGTTCTGATGACAGATCGAGACAGTCCAGCAGACATTCTGGTGAAAATTGGTCTGCAGTTATGTACTGGTAGATAATATCTCCAAGACACTCCTTTTCTCTCTGCAGGCAATAAAACGTCAGATGTCCGGGGTGCTTATCAATTCACATAGTCTACATGCAACCACTGGCCAAAAAACCTATCTTATTTCCGCAATAGATTTGAAAATGTAACTACGAATCTTAGGCTTGCATCCTATGTGAGAGGAAAAAAAAACTAGCTTTACTATAGAACAACTTCAATCAGATAATATATATGCTAGAAAGGAAACCGTCCAATTAGAAATCCAGCCGATCTGACAAACAATTGGCACCCAAAACTTCAATCTAAATGGACTAGAACAAGATCCTTGTGAAAACTAGGGGAAGAAAGGAAAATTTATGAGCGATGCAGTTAGTGAAGAGCTTATGGAGAGAACTATTCATAGCTTCAGATGCCTCCTGTAACTTCTACACAAACAAGATATCGTGAGAAACAATGGACAAGGTGAAATTTTACACATCAACTGAAATTAAAGGTTGTAGTGTCAAGTGTGTGACAGAATATCGAAACACCGCTGATATATCAGAGCATATAACAGCACTAATATCAACTCAAGCAAGCACATGAGCCATGAAATTAAGCGGAAACTGAATACCTTGGGCAGTGCCTCCAAGTAAACGTCGGGTATCTCCATTTCCGCGAGCACACTGCTGTTAATTGCCAAGGCAGCCTTCAGAATCTGGTTAGCACAATCCCGACACTGTTGCAGCTTCTTCCGTGACTCCTCAGACAACCCATTAGATGGAACCTTTGGACAAGGAAGCCACCACTTTTCTTCCTGCCTAACTGAAGGCCGGCCACTGGTAACCGGAGAACTATACGAATCCCGCTCACCCTCTCCTAGAACTACGCCACGATCGACATACCAAAACTCCGTATCAGAAAACCCTTCAAGCATACCAATCAACATTGCATCAAGCTTCTTCAGGGCAGGAAGATTCATGTAGAGATCGGATCGAGGCCGAGTCTCCATGATCTCGTACGTCCCTCCGCCAGGGAATTGCTGTATCGAAGGAACAAGCTCCACGATGGAATCACTAACACAGAGTAACCACTCCAGTTCTCTACGCCACATTGCCTTCTTCTGGGGAGCAAGCGGCTCTAGCCTCCATAGTTCGCCAAACACAGTTGCTGCAATTCCATTGAACAGATCATAAACAGGAAAGCTAGAAACCAAAACAAGAAATGAAATTTTGATGTTTGATATATTAAAGAATCACTTACCAGAGAGATTGGTGATCGCATTGGATATGGCAAGTGCGGTACAAACCCCTTTTCCTCCTCCTGACATGTCCTCTCCTAAAAGAAGCTTAGCGAATCTCTCCTTCATCATCTCAATTTCTACGGATACCAAAACAAAATCCAAAATTACATTCCAAAAACGGAAATCCCGAAGTTCAAATCTGTATATTATTCCATCCATCCAGTAACTTTAAGCAAATTCATACTAAATATACGAATGTGCCCTTACACACACACCCAGGGTTCAAAGGTCTAATCTTTTACCGGACAAATCGTTTTCCCGTTTCTCCAACTTATCATTCCAAACAACCACATCCTTGCCACCGATCACCGGTAGCATTACGGGCGCCGGAAAATAGAAACCTCTTCCACCGCCGCGCGTGACGGGTCGGGGCGATGAAGTAATCGAGCTGGAGGCTCCTTCGCCGTCAAAGCGTCGGCAAGTGAAGCTGCTTGAACTCTCCGACTCGCTAATGTCGGCGCTGGGGCTGTAGCTCCCGCATCTCTCGGAGGAGCTGCCGTTGTCTTCCTCTGACGACATACTTTTCATTCTCCGGTAGATCTAACGGCTCGAATCCATTCAACAGAAGAGAGAGGGATGGAAAGTTACGGTGGTGGTGGTGATGATGATTGATAAAAGCAAAAGCTAGTGGCAAAAAAGTCACTCTCTATGCGTCTATACTTACGTATGTAAGTATAGGTCCTATTTAGGATCTCTCTAGACAAGAGTCGGATATCCACGATTTCGGAGATATCCATCTCTGTTTTTGTTTTCACGAGTTTTATAAAAATAAAATCTCGTTTTCTATCTCATTAATATTGGGCATCCATCGATCGAATATTCGTGACTAAGAGATGGATATCTGCATATATCTATATCCGTAAAATATTTTTTTAAAAATAAATATAAATTTAAACATTTAATAAAATTATATTATTTAATTTAAAAATATATTTAAAATATAAAAAATTAAATTTCTTTAAATATATATAGATTAATAGAAGTTTTTTAAATATATATGTTAATTTTTAAAAATTAAAATCTAATATTTAAATAAATAATTTAAAAAATATAAAAATATTTAATCATTTTTATATATTTACGGTATCCGTTTTGAGAAAATGAAATGTGTATTCATCTTCATCTTCATCTTAGTATCCGTTTTTATCTTCGTTTAGTATCGAATATCCATTTTTCGAATATCTATGAGATTGGGTATCCAAAAACCCACGGATAACGGGTTTAAATACCCAGTCCTACACGGTGCTGCTGGTACCGCTGATGAAGGTGAAGCACGATAGCGTAAGTAACGGCGTCTGCGGCGCCGTGATCTTTTTCCGTTAAGTGGTATTATCTAATGCCGTTAGAAAATTTGTTCTGTAAAATGTGAACCACGGACCAATTGGTTCTGCGTTGACTACAAATAACTTTTTAATTGTCAAGACAATGTCCTTATTCTATTTTATTTTCAGACATTGATTTTAAAAAAATATGTAACAATTTGTCAAGGTTCCAATGAAAACATTATTTTAATTTTGGATAAACACCGGATTATTAAAAAAGAAAATTTATAGTTATGTGAGCACTGTATGGTTGAGTGAAAAGAAATTATAGATGACGTGGACAAATAAAGGATCACACATGGGACAGAGGTGGATGCCAATCTCATTGTTCTCACAGTGACCGCTAACACACGGACGTTATATTTGAGTGGGGTTATGGAGGGGAGGAGGACCGAAGGGGCCGTGACAGCGACTTAACGGCGGCTGGTCCTGAGACGGAGAGATGTGTCTAGTCTGCGGCCGACATCAGTTGAGACACATGCGCTCGCCCTCACAACCGTCAGATCGGAATGGTTTTGCTCTGTAGATGTTCAACGGTCCAGATCTTGATATAGAGGATCTCTAAGCGGCTGGAAAAAATAAAGTCTGACATTGTGTGGACCGGAAGCATTCGTTGTCGGATGAGGTTTCCTCGTGCGGCCGGAACTACAACTACGTTAGATCACACGACATCTACTGGCGATCGTATGCCACGTGTCAGAATCGTAATCGACCGTCATGGGATCGGAGGGTGGGCATTGCGTGGATATTATCCGAGATGTAAATACGAAGAGTGATTTGATTAGTGAAGTGATTGATGATTAAATTAATGTAGCTGAAATCGGGGGGTTAATTACGACACTGATTCACATGCTTCGCGTAGTTGACCGTCAACCCTCCAAATAAACATAGGAGCTGTGTTTGTTATTTCAATATTTTGTCATAAAGGTGAGTCCGGCCACTCGGCCCATTTCCAAAAAGAACTGGGTTGTGTTTATTTGGCAATCAATCAAATACGAGGTTTCAATGAAGAGAAAGGCGGCTTGACTTGTCGGCCCGGCCGCAGAGGAGGGCGTTGGGAGGGAGAGGGTACTCGTTACGGAGACGGTACTCGTTACGGACGGGAGAATGCACTCGGACATAGAACTGTTGTCCCAAGTACCGTCTGCCCCAAGACTGGCTTCTCAGGTTCCACATCCCTACATTGTCCAGTGCCACGTACATAGCCGTCCATGATTTTGGGTACACCTACACATGTTCATATTCCATTTCAGACTTTGGACCTCGTCACTTCCCAATATATCATAGTGAGGGAGAATCGAACCTGTATAGTGCAACGAGATACGGCGTCCCAAAGGTTGTACTCTCCTCTTCTCTCTGGCGTCCACCTCCCTCTATCCATCCTGTCACGTTCGTTCTCTTCTTTGTTAGCAGCCGCTTTTTATAATAAGAAATTAGGAAGAAAAAAGATTGTCTCACCCGACGACCCAAAAGCTATAACCGTCGAGATGGTAGCTCTGTATGATTTTCTCGCGGTTTTGAAACACAATCTCCACAAAGGCTCTGTGGTCGGCCCCCATCACGGCCGTTTCCTGTCTCATTGCGCCTCTTCCACCTCTGGGAGTGTCGGGGATGTTTCCCACCCTGAAAACTCCTATCTTAAAGTAATCCGCAAGCTTTATCGGTGTGTCTGCCTCCACGAACGAAACCCCGTTTATAGCGTAACGCTGCTTCCCGTTCAATTGTCCCGCCGTGCTCTCAAGGACTATGGTCCTCGAGATATTGACACGGCCGTAGTGGTACGACCCCTGCGGGTTCGGACGCGGCCCTGACGCCGTCAAATTAGTCCTGATGGATCGGGCCTGTTCGATGGACCAGTCCACGTCGGTTGGTGGGCCTGGTGGAAGGGGCTCAGAGGGGCCTCCCCTGGAATTGGAGTAGCGAAGGGTGGCGGTGACAGTGAGAGGTTTGGTTGAGAATCTGGTGGAGACGACGATGTGGTAGTCAAGGTGATCGGGTTGGTCCATGGTGACAAGGACGGAGTAGGACTGACCAACATGGACGTCGAGGGAGGAGTAGGTGGATTGGATAGTGTGCGTGCCTTCCACCTCAACTAGTTTAAGCTTGTGGCCTTGTATCCTCAAGTTCAGCGAGTGTTGAAGTCCCACGTTTGAGATCCTTAGTCTATACGTTTTGCCTCTCTCCACCATCAAACATTCACTCCCATTGTGACCCTTGCCGTTTATAAGCAGCGCATCAGGCAGCGGGAGCTTGTGCCCTCTATCTACAATACCCTTCAGCGTCTGAAAACACCATTCACCGTAAGTTTTAGATTAAAAAAAAATGAAAATACTTGCTTGACGTATATGTTTATGTAAAAAGAGATACCTTGTGGTCGCGCTTGAACCAGTCGCCGATGAGAAGGGTGAGATCTCCGGAGGGGTCGGGGAAGGGGACGGGGATGAGGGGGCGGCTGAGGATGCGGAGCCCGCCGAATCCCCCAGCGGCTTTGTGGAGGCCGAGTGACGGGAAGTAGAAGAAGCTTCCGATCTGATCCTTCACCTGGAAGACGTAGGTGAAGTTCTTCCCCGGGGGAATTGGACACGTCGTCCCATACACTCCATCTTGGTACGAGTTCTTCCTCATTTGCACTCCATTCCTTTTTTTTTTTTCCCCACCACAAAAAAAAAAAAAAAAAAAAAAAACATT